GGCGACCAGCGCCCCCCCCCACCAGCCGCTCGGGACGGAGGAGAGCCAGCGGAGCAGGCGGCCCCGCGCACACACGTCCATCGGCTCTCGTGGTGCTTTTGGGGAGTTTCTGTGGCACGCTGAGAAAACCCAACTCTGCCGAAACGAGGTTTCGCTGTGACTGTAGCTAATGGCCCAGGTTAAATTATACAAAGTAGGTTAAGGTCAAACAGCAGCAAGGCAAGCTCTTCATAAAGAGAAGAATACGTTTGGGGTTTCTTTTTCCCCCGAAGAGCCACTCACTTTTCCCATCCTCCTCCTTCACTTACTACTGAAGCAACCCTACCTGAAATTGTAAAGAAACGTTTAAAAAAAGGCAGCTGCGAAACTACGAGGTGTGAAACTAGAGGGGGAGCCGGCTGGGAAGTATCTGTTGGGCAACAGGTAGGGCTCCACCTCATGTGGCGGCACATAAGCAGGGTGAAAACCCAGCGTTAATCATGAGATTAATAACACAGTGGCCGAAAGGCTGTCATTCCAGCAGAGACGGTGGGAGTTTTTACAGCTCCATCCGGCAAAGCAACAGCCCAGGGTTTAACGAGGTGTTAACTAGCCACCGGTAAACACATCTCCTCCTTCCTAGCACTGGGGTGGCCTGGCTCCACCTCTGCTGAGGGGAACCCTGGATGTTCAGAGATGGACGTGGTCCTCCCACCCCATCTGCATCACCACCGAGCTTTGGGAGCTCGGTCTTGGGTTCTCCAGTACCCGGAGAAGCCCATGAGCGATTCATCTTCTCAGCCTGGAGACTGAAACCACCGCTCTGCTCTGCTGGGGGTCACCCAGTCAGTACCAGCTCCTGCCTGTGCAGCGGAGAGGCTCTTCAGCCAAGTTAATGGACAGATAACTGCTTCATTTCACCCAAGCCTGCAGGCCCATCTCAAGGTGGCAATGGCCTTTCACAACTCTGGAGAAGGACCTTTTCCTAGCTGCTATCTCGATAAGTGACGAGGGCAGGGGGGCGTTGAGAAGATTCACCACAGCCTCCCTTGGCGAAGGCTCTGACTACAGCCTAGAAGGCGGCCTTTTAAGGAGGCCCCACGTTAAGGAACGAGATCCACCCACGCACCGTGGGGCATGACTCCTTGCTGCCAGGGCTGGTCCTTCTTGGCTGGGTTCAGAGCTCCTGCGGGACTCGAGCCAAGCAGGTCAGGGGCAGCATGTCCCAGGCGGGGATAAGGGAAGGCAAAGGGCACTGGAAGATTACGGTACATCGCTTATGAGGCTTTCCCCGCCGCTGCCCCCCCCCCCCCCCCCCCCCCAGCCGCTCTCGCGGGCCTCCGTCTCGGCCTGTGGGACGGGAGCTGTCACCTCCAGCAGAGAGAGCCCAAGGGGCTGTTGTCACCCGCCGTCCCCTCGACGTGGGGTCACCCCATCCCCGGGGAAGAGAACGCAGGGGGGCGGGCCGTTACCTTGATTTTCGACCTGACCACGGGGCGCTTGACGGCCAGGTCCAGCAGCATCCCCCCGGCCGTCCCCAGGTCGCCGGGGGCGGGCTGGGGCGTCGGGGGGTCGCTGGGCTCCGCGTCCCGGGTGCCGCTGCTCCCGCTGCTCTCCAGGCTGCAGCTGTCC